TAGAAGCAGTTTTTCTCCTGTTTGTCTTCTGTGGATTTGATGAGACCAGCCAAGACCCCGAAGGGAAGACGGAGGAGGAGCCGGGAGAGACCATGACCCCTGGCATGTCCCTATGGGTAGAGCAGGCTCACCAACTAACTTAGTGTCCAGCCACGTTATTGCCAGTGGAAGGTGCCTCTATGGTCAACCCTCCGAACACATAACCGGCCCAGACGGGCGCCGTCCCCCTCATCTGCTTTCACGGAGGGCTTAAGGGGCACAAATGGAAGTCCGCAGGGAGGGGAGGGATTTAGGTCGCGGGTGGGAGGGGGCGCAGGGGTGGCCTAAAGGCTCCTTCTGCCTAGAAAAACGAAGGGCGCGCTCAGGCTTACAGGAGGGGAAGCTGTAGGTTGGACACATGAAGGAGCGTTTAATGGTCAACATTTTGGAAACAAAGCAGCCAGATGTGCAATGACCCACGTCCCGCTAGAGTTCACGTCCATAGGGTTGCACTAAGGCAGAAATTAGCTGTCCCTTTGCAGCTGATTTTTGCATTTACCAGCCTAGCTCTACCCACAGCTTTCGTGGTGTTTCCTGCAGGGCGGTGCGTTAGGTCCAGGCGCCCCCTCCCGGACGCCAGGTGCCAGGCCAGGGTTCGGAACCTGCAGGGAAAGTGAAAGTTCGTGGTTCGGGGAAACAATGGAGCAAATTAGTGACCTTGAACCAGACATCTGCCGCCATTCAGGGCAATCTGCTCAAGGGGGTAGCATTCCAGGGAGTTCCCTAGCGCGAGGGCCACGCTTGCTTTGTTCTCTGGGGTCATTTGAGAGGCGCCATTTTGAGCCAGGCTCACCCCAAATGGCCCCCAAACCGAAACCGCCCGACTTTGAGAAGGACAGTGGATTAAAACCTGTGGCCGAGTCGACCGATGAACCAGGGGGCCCTGGTCAGGGCACATCCCGGCTTTTGGGGGGGGGGTATCCGCCAGTGTGGGGAGAGCAAGGGGCAGATTAATAATCCTCATTATTGGCGTTTCTATTCCCCTTCCTCTCCGAATTTAATAAACGTATTTCAACTCCATCACAGCACCGACAAGTTACCTTGAGGCTCGATGGATGCTCACAGCCCTTCGTGTAAATAGGTGGGCGGCCCTGAAAAGGGCCTTTGGTTTTGCGCAGGCGCCGCGGGCGGGGAGCGGGCTCAGCCGCCGAAGCCGTAGAGGGTGCGGCCCTGGCGCTTGAGCGCGTACACCACGTCCATGGCCGTGACCGTCTTGCGCTTGGCGTGCTCCGTGTAGGTGACGGCGTCGCGGATCACGTTCTCCAGGAACACCTTGAGCACCCCGCGCGTCTCCTCGTAGATGAGGCCGGAGATGCGCTTGACGCCGCCGCGCCGCGCCAGGCGGCGGATGGCGGGCTTGGTGATGCCCTGGATGTTGTCGCGCAGCACCTTGCGGTGGCGCTTGGCGCCGCCCTTGCCGAGCCCCTTCCCGCCTTTGCCGCGACCAGACATGGTGGAGAGAGAATGCGGATCACAACCCTGAACCCCAGCGCCGGCTGCAGCCCCTTTTATAGCCCCGCAGCGGGCGCCTCGGGAAGCGGAGCGCGCAGGGGGCGGGGAAACGCGCGCCGCCCCGGCCTCGGTCCTGCCGCCCCTCCGGGCGCAGAGTCGCCGGTTCCTGTGGCCTGCAGGCGGCGCTGTGCGCAGTCGGGAGGATTGGCTGTGTACATGTGCCCTGGCCACTGTGAGCCTTTATAAGAAGGAGAAAACTCCGCCCTTATCTACAAGAGGGAGAGATGCCAGATCTAAGTCAATTTTAAAGGCGATGGAGTTAGTGTGGATCTTAGTGACTGTGGCCGCACGTGGGACGTCGCGTCTGCAGGGCACAGCGATGTACCCCGCGTGCAGCCGTCCTAAGGGGGAGCTCCCGGAGGGGACCCACGTTCCTAGGATCTCCACTCTTCGCTCCCATTTGTGAAGCACTGTTTGCGCAGAGAAAAGGAATAATCCTTGCGGGGGTGGGGAAGGCAGTGTAAGGTGGTATAGAGGCGGTAAAAGGTGGAGGAAAAGAAGGCATTTTTTCTTAAAGGAGAAATCCAGGCTTGGAGCGTGCTTTTTGGGTTAGAACACATCTGTGATCCTGGCCTTGTCTGATCTCGTTCTGACTACTGGTCCAAGAACCGCAGTGCGCCGTGTTGAATAAAAGCTTGGAAAATAACAGAATTAACAAAAAAGGACACTAATAAACACCGCGCAGTCCTGACCAAGTAAAAAGGTAACTGACGTGATGCTCTGTGCCGCCACGTGCCACAGACCAATCGGCACAGTCACCTGGGGCACCGCCTTCGACGGGCCAGGGAGGGACCGCAGACACCCCTTCTCTGCGGTGCTTCCCACAGAGCAGCCAGAGGTGGGCCATTTCCTCCAACCGCAGATCCTCTCCTCCCTGAGAAATCACTAAACAAGGCACATGATCGATTGTCAGGTGGACGCATTGATTGATTCTGCAAGGAGCAGGAAAAGTGAGCTCAGGAAAGGGTCAGCCTGAACCGGCTCCTCCTGCTCCTGGCCTTCCCGTGCTCCTGGCCTCCCCATGCTCCCGGCCTCCCCGTGCTCCCGGCCTCACCGTGCTCCTCACCATGCTCCTGGTGATGGGCGGAGCAGTTGTGGGATCCCAGCATTAGCTTCACCTGGGAATTGTTAGACGTAGAGAATTTCAGGCCCATCTCCTCAATCTCCAAGTGGTTGGTACGTGCATTCAATTCCAAAGAGGTTCTGAAGGCCCTTCTGCCCTGCATCAGGCACTAGCCAATGTGCTTATCTAAATTTAAAGTTATTAACTGGTGGTCATATTGGGATAATGGGTTGATGCTCCTACCACTGAGATACCCAGCCAGGGCACATACAGGAAGCAACCAATGAATGAATAAATATGTGGAACAACAAATGGGTGTTTCCCTGTTCTCTCTCCCTTCCTCTCTCTCTCTCTCTCACAAAATAAACATTTTTTTAAAAAAATTAAACTTACAAAATACTAAAAATTAATTTCTTCAGTTACTGAGCCACAGGTAAGGCCTACCTATGAATATATAGCTACAGGCTGACGCTCTATCCACTGAGCGACACCGGTTTCGGCCCAATACTTTTCTTGGTTATTTATTTCAACATGAGGTGGGATGCCAGGACCTGACTAATAGGTGGGTAATATAAAGTGGTGCATAATTATCCAACATTTGCTGAATTCTATTAGCTTTGTGGTATTGCAAAGAGAGAGATGAGTGGGATTTGGTCATGCTTGTGATGCAATGTTTGTTCAGCCCCTCAGGTGGGCGGGTTCTGCTCACTGATTCAGGCTGTGACAGTCTGGTTCATACTTTGTTAGTAAAAAGGCCCTGGGTGAAATATGGAAAATTCATGCAGTGGTTTATTAATCTTCACACTCCTCCCCGCCCCCGCCATTGAATTTCAGGAAGGGAGCCGGAGAGACACAGAGAAACATCCACATGAGAGACCCACCTATTGGTTGCCTCCCATCCTCGCCCAGCCAGACCAGAGATTGAGCCAGTAATCCAGGTACGTGCCCTTTGACGGGAATGGAACCTAAGACCCTTCAGTCCGCAGGCAGACGCTCTATCCACCCAGCTTTTTTGTTTTTTTAAAATATATTTTTATTGATTTTAGAGAGAAAAGGGAGAGAGAGATAGAAATAGATAGAAGCCTCAGTGATGAGAGAGAATCACGGATCGGTCACCTCCTACACGCCCCCACTGGGGATCGAGCCCACAACCCAGGCATGTGCCCCCAACAGGAATTGAACCTGGGACTCTTCAGTCCCCAGGCCAATGCTTTATCCACTGAGCCAAACCAGCCAGGGTGCTCCTGCAGAGATTTCAATGAGAAACGCTTCTTTCTAATCTGGGTCCTGACTTGCAATGCTAACAAAGGTCAAATGCATTTTGTGTTTTGAATATTATCTCGGAATATAGGAAATATGTTTAAAGCCCTATGCTAAATACTGGGGGACCAATCTGGTGGACAAGGTGACTGTCATGAAGGCTTTTGCAATTTTAAGGAGATTGAATGGCAAACACGTGATGTCGCAGGGCTCTCCTGCTCACAGCTGGTAAACTGAGGTGGATCTACCTGCCCACCTGTTGCTTTGAGATGCCTTTGTGGTTAGATAGGTACGGTGGGTGACCTCCGATGCCCACTCTAGGTCTGAAAAATCAATCTTTTAAGAGAAGATGGATGACTAGTTACTGGCAGAACTGATTATTTACAACTCACACATGCACAGAGCAGACTTGCTCTCGTCCCTCCTAAAAATGGTGAAATAAAAAACAATGGGATCAAACCCAGGTTACACACTGGTCGCTCCAATACTTAAAAAATATCAAACCAACATTTTCTTCTAATACAGGTTGTTGTCCATCGTGTACTTTGAATTCTCTCCCCCCTGCCTATTCCCAGGGCTCAGGGCGAACCAGTCGCAGGCGAGCTGTGCTATTGCCCTCGCGAAGAATACGATTTTCTGGGTTTATTTCAGTTCAGATCCGTTCGTGCACACAGAGTTGCAAAGACAAGAATGTGAAGAACTATGTTCTGCAAGAAATATTTGCAAAGGAAACGGAGAGAAGTCGTATTTTTAAGGAAAATTGGAAAGTTGTCTCCGTTTGACAGAAGTTTTCCAGAGAGTTGGGGGAATCGGGAAAGTTTCAGGGGGCCGGCGGCGGAGCTAGGCGCGCCAGAGAAGGCAGGAAGGAAGCCTGAAAGCTCTCGGACCCGATTCCCCCAAATCCCTCATGATTTTGTGCACAGATTTCTTATATTTTTCTCCTTTTTTAAAGGGCAAGAAACACAGCAGCCGGGCAGAGCGGAGGAGCCGGCTGGGTAGCGCGGCGCACGGAGCCGCCAGCCAATCACCAACCAGCGCCTCGCTATATAAACCCCCGCCGCCCGCGCCGGGCCACGCTGCTCTGACAGTTCAAGTCTCCTGTTGTTCTTCCGGGCAGAAGTGAAACATGTCGGAGACCGCTCCCCTGGCTCCCGCCGCTCCCGCCCCCGCGGAGAAGACGCCCGTGAAGAAGAAGGCGCGCAAGCCCGCCGGCGCCGCCAAGCGCAAGGCGTCCGGGCCGCCCGTGTCCGAGCTCATCACCAAGGCGGTCGCCGCCTCCAAGGAGCGCAGCGGCGTGTCGCTGGCCGCGCTCAAGAAGGCGCTGGCGGCCGCGGGCTACGACGTGGACAAGAACAACAGCCGCATCAAGCTGGGCCTCAAGAGCCTGGTGAGCAAGGGCACCCTGCTGCAGACCAAGGGCACCGGCGCCTCGGGCTCCTTCAAGCTCAACAAGAAGGCGGCCTCGGGCGAGGCCAAGCCCAAGGCCAAGAAGGCGGGCGCCGCCAAGGCCAAGAAGGCGGCCGGGGCGCCCAAGAAGACCAAGAAGCCCGCGGGCGCGGCCGCGCCCAAGAAGGCCGCCAAGAAGACCCCGAAGAAGGCCAAGAAGCCGGCGGCGGCCGCGGGGGCCAAGAAGGCGGCCAAGAGCCCCAAGAAGGTGAAGGCCGCCAAGCCCAAGAAGGTCGCCAAGAGCCCCGCCAAGGCCAAAGCCGCCAAGCCTAAGGCGGCCAAGCCGCAAGCTGCCAAGGCCAAGGCTACGAAGGCCAAGAAGGTGGCCCCTAAGAAGAAGTGAAGCTGCCGCGGCAGGTCCTGCTTTGAAAACCTCAAAAGGCTCTTTTCAGAGCCACCCACTCATTTCAGGAAAAAGAGCTGAGCTGGCCACCTGACTGGGTGTCTTCTTTCAGGCGAATGGCTCCGGTGCGCTGGGCAGGTTAGGTGGGGACCTGTGGTTGTTGGGGAGCTGGGCGCTGTGGCGTTTCTAGAAACACATGAGCAGGCATTTTCGGGAAATCTGCGAGAACCCTCGGTCAGGTGCCTGGGGTAGTGTCCCCGCCTGTTCACCTGGCCTTGCGGCGCTCGGTCTCTGGCTGCAGCTCCGCCTGGAATGGATGTTGGGCAGGACCCTGCCCTGCGCGGAGAAGCTGCCCGGTAGTTTTTGGCGCTGGTTGTTCCGGTCCGCCAACCGTAGGGGGCGCCCTTGAGTCTCGCCGCCCTGCTTCCCGTGCCCAGACGCGTTAGAAGGGGAAAGTGTAATGTATGTAACAAGTCGACCTGCGGAGAGGGCTAATCAAGTTTCTGTAAGTTACCTAAACTTTGCTTTCCCACTGACTTGCAGAAGTTATTGGGCTCTATTTTGGTGCGCATTGGGCTCTCGAGAGTGGAAGTATCCACCGGAGATGGCGATGTTAAGTCTTGCCTATTCTGTGAGGCAGTTGAAAGCCTTGGATTTTTTCCCTCGAGGTCAGTGGAGTTCTTGGGGAAGAGTAGCCACCTGTTACTCTGCCCGTAATTGAGCTGCCGCCCTGAGGCTGAGGGACAGTGAACGTGGAAGTCAGCCTCCTGCAGGGCTGTAAGTGGCCCTCAGCCCGGTTTCTTCCCGCGGACGGTGGCGAAGACCTAGGGAGCCATAGTCTCCTGAGCAGGCAATGAATTGGAGAGTAAAGAACACAAAGACGTTTAGTCCCCTGAGCAGGCAATGAGTTGGAGGGTAAACAAGACAGACGTGTTGGAAGGCAGGGAAGAGGGTTGGCAGAGAGCTCCTGGACAAGGGGTGGCCGGGTCACACAATAGGGGCTCTTGGGAGAAGAGTTCACTTGTCTCCCCATTTCCACTTCATCTCTGGGACTGAGCCTTTATTGTCAATATTATTTCAGGGAAGTTCACTTACTTTTATTGGCAACTCTGGCAAAATCCCGAATTCTACAGAACAGTTGGGGGTGCAAACCTGGATGGGGATTATAATTTAATTTTTACTATCTTATTAAAAAAAAAAAGAATGTAGCAGGTGTCTTCTAACCAGTTCAACATTTCCCCAGTGACAGCTGCATCTTATAATTTCTTCCTACTTTCTACTTGAGACAATACCTGGGAAAACAGGAGAATGTAAAAGTTGTTACTCAAAGGAATCTTTTTAAAAAGAAGAGCCTACGCGGAGTAGGGAATATGGGAAAACAGCTGTGAGGTCTTTAATAGCCAGAATGAGAGGTAGGCTTTTGAAGAGGGATGAGGAATAAGAACTATTGGGTGGAGGGTGCGGGGTTAGTCATTCACTGAGTGGTCAAAGTGACTATACACTACCTCTGTAATCCCTTACCGTTTGCAAAGCACATCCAGGACTGCCTCACTAGGGAGCATTGGCCTTGGGTATGATTGAAATACTTGTCTTGCAGTTAAGAAAACTGGTTTAGCAACACGAACTGAGCAGAATCACCTTACTGGTGCTTGACCAGAAGATTCCACACTGGTTGATTATGTATGATTCTGGGAGGGGTTGAAACTGCAATTAGAGCAGGTATTAAATCTGGGTTCAGTGTCTTGGGCTTTTAGCACCAGTGATGCCATTTGGTGTTTGTCCCTTATCGTCTACACTTAGGACGTGCCAAGCATGCTGTCCTAAACACCATGGATTAACAGCCAAGAACCCATCAGGAAATTTGAGATTATAAAATGCAGTGTGGTTTTGAGGTAGAGGCAATACTTATGAATCTACTGACATAGAACAAGCCTAAGGCAAACGGATATCCCACCATGAGCACGACCAGAACAAAGCCTACCCTCCCAGGCTTTTATCTGAAAAGCAAACGATTTGTTACTTTCAAATAAGGCCGATTGACCCAATCTTCCTTAATGGTGACATCCTAACCCAGCAACCAGGCGATAGACAAAATACTTATCCAGACTGCAGTGCAGGCCTCATTCACTCCTCACCCGTTTAAATGAGCTATGAGTATGCGTATGCTAGCAGACAGTCCTCTGAAATGTTACTCACGTGCATGCTGCCTCACTGGTTGGGGTGCAGCAAGACAGAGCTATTCAACTTCACCGGGTACAATTCTGTACACTTTTGAATATGCACTGATTTGCTGCAACAAACCTTTAGTCCTAATTAGGACTTCATAATTGCAGGCACCATTTGGGATAATAGCAGGGTGCCTAGGTCTATTACTGATTGCAGAGCTGCGCCCTCTGCTGGGGCTGCAACGGAAGCTGCCTTAGACAGCTGAAGCGGGGGTCGAGGCGCTCACCACAGCACCACTCCCGAGCTGCCAGCCCAGCCATTACCCGCCCTCCACAGTGCAGTTCAGGGATGTCTGTCCTTGGCTTACAGCTCTCCCATGGGAAGTGGTGGCTCTGAAAAGAGCCTTTGGGTTTCCTTGTTGGCGGACAGGAAGGGAGCTCAGGCCCGCTCCCCGCGGATGCGGCGCGCGAGCTGGATGTCCTTGGGCATGATGGTGACGCGCTTGGCGTGGATGGCGCACAGGTTGGTGTCCTCGAACAGTCCCACCAGGTAGGCCTCGCACGCCTCCTGCAGCGCCATGACGGCCGAGCTCTGGAAGCGCAGGTCGGTCTTGAAGTCCTGCGCGATCTCGCGCACCAGGCGCTGGAACGGCAGCTTGCGGATCAGCAGCTCCGTGGACTTCTGGTAGCGCCGGATCTCGCGCAGCGCCACGGTGCCGGGCCGGTAGCGGTGCGGCTTCTTCACGCCGCCCGTGGCCGGCGCGCTCTTGCGGGCCGCCTTGGTGGCCAGCTGCTTGCGGGGCGCCTTCCCGCCCGTCGACTTGCGCGCCGTCTGCTTCGTGCGAGCCATGACTTAGGTGAGGAGTCTGAGGACGAGGGGAAGGCTGGACGCTGTATTTATAAGGGAACAGAATCGCTCTGATTGGCTAGTGAGCAGGACCCGTTACTAGGCAGGAGTTAGTTAGTATCCGGAAGTGACCCGGCCGTATTAGGGTGGGATTTTCGTTCTGTGCGAGTCTCTGATTGGTCAATTTGAAGGACCTCTTCCCCGCCCCTCAAATAATTTTTTGTTTTGTTTTTTTGTTTTGTTTTACTTTTCATCAGTGATGCCCCTACGCCTATAAGTCTGACCCACAGATTTATTATTCTCGAGCTTTTCATCTGCTTGGGGGAAAAATGTGTTTGAAAGAGAAAGAACTTAAGTTTTGTTGAAAGAAACAGCAACATTTTGTGCGGTTAACCCGTTTTCTTCCCGCTCCTGTTACGCGCCCCGCCTCGGTATTAAAAATCCATTGTCTGAGCCTCTCTTGGGATCGATTTCACTGTATTTTCCGTAAATTCGCAGTTCATTGTAGCAGGATGTACTGGGAAGACGTGCAGAATGTCGTGTATCATTCAGGGTTCATGCAAATTTCAGATTTCCTGGGATCCCTGGCGCTCTACTTTCGAGTTGGACTCCAAATGGTCATTTGGCTCCACATTTACAATGTCAGCTGGGCTGTATAAACAGGAGCATTAAAAAAAAAAATAAAAGGAAGGAAGCATTTGCAACGCGGAACCTTGGAATAGGTGGCAGTACTTTTTTGTGACTGGCTTATTTTCTTCCCGTTTCATCCACGTTGTAGCAGATGTCAGGTTTCAAAAAAAATTGATTTTTTAATTTTATTTATTTATTTATTTTTACAGAGAGGAAGGGAGAGATATAGAGAGCTACAAACGTCGATGAGAGAGAAACATCGACCAGCTAGCTGCCTCTTGCACACACCCTACTGGGGATGTGCCCGCAACCCAGGTACATGCCCTTGACCGGAATCGAACCCGGGACCCTTCAGTCCGTAGATCGACGCCCTACCACTGAGCCAAACCGGTTTTGTCAAGAAGGTGACTTTTGAGTCAATTCCTGAAGGAAGTGAGGCAGCTAGAGCAATGCCCTGAGGCAGGGAGGGAGTGGTGTTAGGTAAAAGGCCATTGCAGCTGGGAGATGGGAATGGGATGGGGTGGGGGAGTAAAAGCCTTAAGGCAAATTTTGTAGCATGTTATGGTTTGGGCTTTGCTTAGTGAAAGTTAATAAAACACAATTTATTTTGAATAAAGGATAGATGGCAGCGATCCAGGGTCTTCAAGTGAACATTTACTCAAAATGATTTTTTGCGGGGGAGACCCGGATGTCCTGTACAATTTTTGATAAAACCCACGAAGCTGTATTCAAGGCTGCACTCGGCTAGATGGCAGGATTTCCTGCCTTAGTTTTCACATCTAAGGCGAAGGGTTCCATTTCTTATAATCCTACTGTAGTGTTCGAATTACAATAATGACAATAAAGCCCCTCAAAACCGGCAGCAGGCCGGCTAACGGGCTGGGAGGTGAAGGGAGGGGTACGGGCAGGAGCCAAAGGGTCACTCACTGTGACCCGGCGGGAGCCCCTCCTTCCCTAACGCGGGGTGAGGCCTCGGGGCGGAGAGTTAGACACCGAGTTAGAGCCCCGACTCTGGCCCAGACAGTGAGTGTGACTCACCAGCTGCTCCGCCGGCGGCTTAGGGCGGGCCCGGCCCGCGTGTGAGCGGGAACGAACCGGCCCAGAGCCGATACTTCCCGCACCGCCGGGCTGGGGGTGGGGAGAGGCAGCTCCAGGACTGGGAGCAGGGGTGGGGGGATTTGGGTGAGATCAGTGTGCGAATCCCCGGGCAGGAGAAATGGCATTAAAAACCCATCCTCCGGGTAGCAACTCCTCTATTTTAATAAATCGGGATTCCTTTTTCCTTCTTCCCTCTCCCGCCGCCACGATTTGCTTCATCCCTCCCTGTACTTATTCCATCCGGATGGGACGAAATTCCT